ATGTGTCCTCGGCGGGCGTCCCTGCTCCCAGTTGGCTCTGCGGGCCAGCGTGGGGAGCTGCTGCTCCAACCACAGCCCAGGCCTTTCTCCTGCTGAAGACGGCCAAATGAGTTAACTGGACCAACTTGTTTGAAGGCAAAACAGTTGGCTTTTCTCCTGTGACAAGTGAATTTGCTCCAAACCAGGAACTGAGGGCACTTCTGGGTTCTAGTTCAATGTCAGGTCTAGCCCAAGCTGACCTAGAATGCCACAGTGTGTACCGCAGGGCCAGTGGGCCTCGGGCCTGGGGTGGCTCTACTTTTCCCATAGGGGTTTCTGCTTCTTCCATAGGTCTGACCTGCAGGCAACTACATCAGTAGCTCTGGGTCCTTCTTTAGGGAGTACTTGGACATCTTGGAAAAAATGGGAACACTGTAAGTTTGGAGATGTAGCCTCTCTGTGACCTGCCATCTCTATCCTGAGCCTTAGATCCTGGAGCTATGCTCCTCCATCACTGGACATTGACTCTGAGGATAGCTTGGGTGGGGCCAGTTCCAAGAAGGAGATGCCCAGGGGCAGAGAGGCTTCCCATAGCCTCCTTCCAGCCTCTAAACAGGGTGAATGGAGATGAAGAAATAGGGGGAAGGGCTATACTACATATAGGGAAGACACAGGGGCTAGCGATCACCCTGCCAAGCAGCGCCCCGGCGACCAGGTAGGCAGGCATGAGCTAAGTGGTCCAGAGATTTTGCGTATGTGGCCAAATGAGATCAGCCCTAAGCCAAAGCCAGCACAGCTGCCCTCACCCTGGCAATGACAGGGACCAGATCCTCTCAGACTCCCATGGAGAGCAAAGTAACTGTGTCTCCAGTAGGTCCTGATCTGTGTGTGGCTGGTGCTTGCCAAGGATTTCAGTGGGAGTGGGTACACCCATCTGGGAGTTTCTGTCACAATAAAAACATACCTGGTACTGGGAGAGTTTAGTGGCCAGGGCCCCTGTCCCTGGTTGAGCAGACATCTCAGGATCTCAGGGAGTAGACAAACACCTTGTCTAGGGATACCCTAGCACTGCTTTTGATGAAGCTCTGCTTCAGTACTACACCAACCCCTCTATTTGGATCTGCACCTTGGCAGGTGGCAAAGGCAGCCAGGAAGTCTCCTCATGCCTATTCCTTTCTTCAGGACTTCACAGTCTCAGGGATTGACTGGGTCTGAGAGTTGGTGTGAAGGACGGAAGCCACCCCCAGGAGACCTGGGATGAACTCACCTCTCCATCCCTCCTGACCACGCATGGGCACAACTTTCTATTCACAGAGTAGGTGGCCTAAGCTGCTGAGTATCATTAGGGAGCATCATTGCTCCCTAATAGACTGCCTTGTTCTGTTTACAGCCCAAAGATGCTGGTGACCCTTTCTAAACCTCAAAACCCTCGAGTGCTGGGCGCCGGTGGCTCACGCCTGTCATCCCAACTACTCAGGAAGCTGAGATCTGAGGATCGTGGTTCAAAGCCAGCCTGGGCAGGAAAGTCTGTAAGATTCTTTTTTTTTTGTCGGTCGTGGGGCTTGAACTCTGGGCCTGGGTGCTATCCCTCAGCTCTTCAGCTCAAGGCGAGCGCTCTACCACTTGAGCTACAGCGCCACTTCCGGTTTTCTGTGGTTTATTGGAGATAGGAGTCTCACAGTCTCTCCTGCCCGGGCTGGCTTTGAACCGCGATCCTCAGATCTCAGCCTCCTGAGTAGCTAGGATTACAGGCATGAGCCACCAGCGCCCGGCGTCTGTAAGATTCTTATTTCCAATAAACCACTAGAAAACCAGAAGTGGTGCTGAGGCTCAAGTGGTAGAGTGCTTGCCTTGAGCTGAGGAGTGCAGGGATAGCGCCCAAGCCCAGAGTTCAAGCCCCACAACCTACAAAAACAAAACAAAACGAAACCCGAGTTTCCTTATTCCACCAGTGTTTCAAGCCTGGATTCTCCTCTATTGTTGTTACTCAGTAGGTAGCATTGAACCATGGTTTTCTTGTCACTAAGCCACATACACCTTTTTTCCCTCCAACCAATCTCACCTACTCTTTCTTTTCCTGAATGCTCTGGGCCACACCTTACACTCTATTTCAGGATACTAGAGCTTGTCAGTACCAGGTAACCTGTTCTCAGGCTTCCATATTGGCCAGCTTCCTGGCCGCAGGCCCCAGCTCTTGGTCACATGAGGTCACCTCACTCCCATGGCCCTTTGCTGGGACAGCTTTCAGAGCAGACATGGCTGAAGCAGCTGCCTCAACATGTCCGTTCACTCTTCATTGGTCAGTGTGCAAGGTGTCTTTGGACTTAGTGGTAAGCTGAGCCGTTGGTTGTCTGCTCACTCATCTAGCCATGGATTTGTCTGCCAGTTCTTGGTCCCATGTTGGAAGATGGCACCACCAGAGCCCACTGACACAGGGACACAGAATGTAGAGGTTTTGTGTTCACTACCAAAAAGGAGAATGGGAGTGGATAGCAGTCCCACAACTCATATCTATGTTTTAGGCTCTCAAGGGTACATTTTCCTCTACCCAGCCTCTTGGATCAGTTCACACAAAGGCCTAGCCTTGTTTGCTTCAGGCTCAGGGCCAGCATCTTTTTTTTTCTTTCTTTCTTTTTTGCCAGTCCTAAGGCTTGAACTCAGAGCCTGGGCACTGTTGCTGAGCTCCTTTTGCTGAAGGCTAGTTCTAGTGCCACTTGAGCTACAGTGCCACTTCTGGCTTGATATGGTGCTGAGGAATGCAACCAGGGCTTCACTCATGCTAGGCAAATACTCCACCACTGAGCCACCTTCCCAGCCCCTGGGCCAGCAGCTTTGATGAAGAGACGGCATTTGGGGAGACTGGGTAGGTGATGAGGCAGTTGTGACCCACAGACAGTACCCGTGTGAGGGACTCTCCAGCTGTCGCCCTCCTTTGTAGGCTACAAGAATACACCTGCCCGATCAGCCTGGCATCAGCCCACAATGGCTTCTGGAGAGGAGATTGTGTCAAGGGGACAGTGGAGCAACTCTGCCAACCACCACGGCCTGCACAGGGGAGGGAAGCAGGCCGACTGCAAAGGAAGCGGTGGCTGTCCACAGGGAGGCCTCGCCCCGACGAGGCGCTTCCGGGCTTCTGGAAGGGGCGGTCTGTCCAAGTCCTTCTCCGAGGCCTGCCGGGGGTCTAGGGCTGGGGGCCGGGGTCTGGGGCCGGGGTCTGGGGGCCGGGGTCTAGGGCTGGGGGCCGGGGTCTGGGGCCGGGGTCTGGGGCCGGGGTCTGGGGCCGGGGTCTGGGGGCCGGGGCTGGGGCCGGGGTCTGGGGGCCGGGGTCTGGGGCCGGGGTCTGGGGCCGGGGTCTGGGGCCGGGGTCTGGGGCCGGGGCTGGGGCCGGGGTCTAGGGCCGGGGTCTGGGGCCGGGGCTGGGGGCCGGGGTCTGGGGCCGGGGTCTGGGGCCGGGGCTGGGGGCCGGGGTCTGGGGCCGGGGCTGGGGGCCGGGGTCTGGGGCCGGGGCTGGGGGCCGGGGTCTGGGGCCGGGGTCTGGGGCCGGGGTCTGGGGGCCGGGGTCTGGGGCCGGGGTCTGGGGGCCGGGGTCTGGGGCCGGGGCTGGGGGCTGGGGCCGGGGTCTGGGGCCGGGGCCGGGGGCCGGGGTCTGGGGCCGGGGGCCGGGGCCGGGGTCTGGGGCCGGGGCCGGGGGCCGGGGTCTGGGGCCGGGGCCGGGGGCCGGGGTCTGGGGCCGGGGTCTGGGGGCCGGGGTCTGGGGCCGGGGCTGGGGGCCGGGGTCTGGGGCCGGGGCTGGAGGCCGGGGTCTGGAGCCGGGGTCTGGGGCCGGGGTCTGGGGGCCGGGGTCTGGGGCCGGGGCTGGGGCCGGGGTCTGGGGCCGGGGCTGGGGGCCGGGGTCTGGGGCCGGGGCTGGAGGCCGGGGTCTGGGGCCGGGGGCTGGGGGCCGGGGTCTGGGGGCCGGGGTCTGGGGCCGGGGTCTGGGGGCCGGGGTCTGGGGCCGGGGTCTGGGGGCCGGGGTCTGGGGCCGGGGTCTGGGGCCGGGGTCTGGGGGCCGGGGTCTGGGGCCGGGGTCTGGGGCCGGGGTCTGGGGGCCGGGGGCTGGGGCCGGGGTCTGGGGCCGGGGTCTGGGGGCCGGGGTCTGGGGGCCGGGGTCTGGGGCCGGGGTCTGTGGCCGGGGCTGGGGGCCGGGGTCTGGGGCCGGGGTCTGGGGCCGGGGCTGGGGTCTGGGGCAGGGGTCCGGGGCCGGGGCTGGGGCCGGGGTCTGGGGCCGGGGTCTGGGGGCCGGGGTCTGGGGCCGGGGGCCGGGGTCTGGGGGCCGGGGCTGGGGTCTGGGGTCTGGGGCAGGGGTCCGGGGCCGGGCCGATGGCTCCGTTCAGCTGCGGAGGAGTCCCGCCCCATTCTCGCCTGGCCCTGGCCTTGGGGAGAAGTCCCTCTCGGTCCAGAAGCGGGCCTTTCCCTCCGGTGCGCCCCGGGGCACCCCAGGCCCCAGCCGCTCGCGGTCATGGGTGAGGAAACCTCAGTGTGCCGAAGGGCAAGAGGTCAGGGGCCAGGCGCAGCTGCCAGGTAGCCGGGCGCCTGCGCCACGAGCCAGGTAGACATCTGTCCGTCCTCCGCAGGGCTCCCGTGTCCTCGAGGGCGCAGGCCTAGTCCTGGGGCGCCCCGGCCCCGGCTCTCCCCGGGCCGCGGCTTCCCTCGGCCCCAGCTCCGCCTTCCGGGCGCAGCGGGGCGCAGTCCGTGTCGCCTACAAGTCCCAGGGCGCCCCGCGCCAGGCCCCGCCCCGCCAGGCCCCGCCCCGCCAGGCCCCGCCCCGCCAGGCCCCGCCCCGCCAGGCCCCGCCCCGCCAGGCCCCGCCCCGCCAGGCCCCGCCCCCGCCAGGCCCCGCCCCGCCAGGCCCCGCCCCGCCAGGCCCCGCCCCGCCAGGCCCCGCCCCTGGCCGCGGCCTACTAAGCGGGGCTCGGGGCCGCCGGCGCCGTCAGAAGCTCGGAGCCTGCGCGCCGCTGCGCTCCCGGTGGGCGTCGCTGGCACAGCTCGGGCTACGGCGGCCGGCAGGGGGCGGTGGCGGCCGTTACTCGGGGTTCGGAGGCGGGGCCGCGGGGGTCGGGCGCTGAGAGGCCGAGGGCCCGCGGCTGGGCCACGGCGGAGGAGCGGGCCGAGGCCATGGGCGACCGCGGCGGCGCGGGCGGCTCCCGGCGCCGGAGGACCGGCTCCAGGCCCTCGGGCCAGGGCGGCGGCGGGCCCGGGGCGGCGGAAGAGGCGGTTCGGGACGGGGCCGCGGGCCCGGACGTGGGCGCCGCGGGGGACGCGCCGGCCCCGGGGTCTGCCCGGGACAAGGACGGAGGCGCTACCGAGGGCGGCGGCCACGCGGATCTGAGGTAGCGGAGGGTTCCTGACCCTTCACCCCTGACCCCAGACCCCGCGCTGCCCCCTGCCCCCAGGGCGGCCGCGGACCCGGGGGCCTCTGGGCCCCGCTCGGACGCTGAGGCTTTGGAAGTCCCCGGTCAAGGTCACCCGGTGGGGGGCGGGGCGGGGCGCCCCCCGGGCCTGCGGGGCGCGCGGGCCGCGGGAGCCCCGGGACCCCCGACCTGGGCGGGCCGCGGGACCCCCGAGCCTCCTGGGCGGGCCGCGGGACCCCCGGGACCCCCGAGCCTCCTGGGCGGGCCCCGGGACCCCCGAGCCTCCCGGGCGGCCCCGACTGGACGCGGGTCGGCGGGAGGGAGCGCGTGAGGTCGGGCTGGCTCCCCAGGCGCGCAGCCCGGAGCCGGCCCCCAGCCTCTCCCTCTGCCCTGGGCCAGGGGGCCGCGCAGAAGGGCTTCTTGTCCTTGCAGACCCTCGCAAGCGGGCCTGCGTGTCTTATCTATTCTTCATTAGCGGTCAGGAGGGCCCTCTGTGTCACTAGAAAGTGCTCACTGTAGGGACAGAGCTGAACCCGGTGTGGAGACTTGGATTCCCTGGTTAGAGTGCAGGAAGAGGCAATGGGGGTGTCCACAGGAAGGGACATGCTTCTCTGAAGGAGAGGACGGAGCGATGGGGACTACACCCTTCCCGGCCCGCGAGGAGGTGGCCAACCTGGACACTGCTGCCTGCTCCAAGCTGGCCCTCAGGCCACTCAAACCTTTTCTGGGGTTAATCCTGGCCTATGTGACTGACTTAGAGAGAAGCTGAGGAGCGAAGAGGAAGTAGGCAGGGGAGGCTGTGGGTGTCCTGTGGGGAAGGGGGCTCAAAGGCTGCCTTTTGGGCTGCTCACAGTTCACTTGGGAGATAAGATAAACCCCAGTGTGAGGCAGGTGTGGCTCAGCATGGACAAAGGTCGGGTACAGACTCCCTGAAGACACTGGTGGATGGGGGAGGTCCTCCTGAGGTCTGGGGTGGTGCTGAGGGAGTTCTGGAGTTCCCCTCTATGATTGCCCCCAGTCACCCCTCTCTTCAAGGCCCCGGGGGATGCTTAACTGGACTTTGGAGAGGGTGGGAATTGGGGTCCTTTTGCATGAGACTGGGAAAGAGGTCTCAACTGTACCACCTGGGATAGGCAGGGGAGTGCAGTGTTACCTTCATCACATTGGTGAGTGTGAGGTCTTCGGGGAGCTGGGAGGGGAGGCGGAGAGTCCTCTGCTGGAGTTGCAGTCTCCCTGGGCTGCGCTCCTGCTGTGCTGCCTCAGCTCATCAGACTGATGCCCTCCCCTCTGGAAGTGAGGACCATGGCAGCGAGGCTGCTCCAGCCTCTCCACCTGTCTCCAGGACTTGCAGGCCCGTGCTCTGCCTCCACCCTGGGTGCAGGCCCCCAGGTCTCAGTGCTGGCCAGGCCAGGCTCTCTCGGTGCTTTGGGGCTTGGCCTGTGTGTAGCTCACTCCATTGTCCCTCCTTGCCAGCCGCTCCTCTTCCCTGCTTGTTGCTGCTCTTGGCCCAGGCCAGCCTTCCTCCTGATTCTGCCAACTCCTGCCTCCTCCCCTCCATACCACTTCTTGCTCACCGTGGGCTGAGTAGGTGGCCAGGCTCTGGGGGTGAGCTCGCTTCTGCCCTGTGGCAAGGCGAGGCTGGGAGGAAAGGTGCCCATCCTGCTGCTGTGCTCGCTGTTTGGCCCGGGAAGTTTGGGGAGCCCACCCCAGTCATCTTGTACCCCAGGGCCTAGTTGAGGATGGCCTGGAGGAGTGCAGGGAGGGGTTGCCCGGAGGGTAGAAGTCTCTCTGCGCCTCTCCTTGCCCTGGACCATGTGGTCCTAGGAGGAGGTCCACACTGGAGACAGCGTCTGGGTGCAGCGCAGACCTGGGGGTGTGGGGTGTGAGATGGCCAGGTTCCTGCCCTTGCCCCACAGGAGAGGTTCTGTGAGCCTGGTGGCTGTGGGAAGGAAGGAGGAGGGCCGCTCCACAGCTCTGTGGCCCCAGGCAGCGAGAGATGCAGGCCGTGGTAGGTGCTCAGTAGGTGAGAGGGTGACAAAGACTGGGCTGCTTCTCTCTCCCTGCTCACATCTTGTGGCATGTCCCTGTGGTGTGCTAAGCATTTCTGTGGGCATTGGTCAAGGAGGAGTGTCATGGGCCAGGGGGGAGTGTCCCAGTACGAGAGCAGTTGGGGAAGATCTTGAGAGCCCAACGGAAGGGACGTGGACAAAGCTCCTCTGATATCTGCTGTCAGCTTTGGAACCCAAGACCCTTTCCCCGCTTCTGTCCTCCTCTTGGAGGCAGCCAGAGCTAGAGCAGCAGGGGCCCCTTGGTGGCCCCAAGGCCCAAGGGGAGGGCGGTCATATGATTGTGAAACACTGGTGGTGGTGTGAGGCTTCCGATAGTGCAGGTGAAAGCAAGCAAGCTTCAGTTGAGAGGGGTGAAGCGGTATGGCAGGGAGGCCCAGAGAAGCAGCCTCCTGCCGGCCTCCTGGTGCTGCGACTCTGGGGAAACTCACACCTAGCCGGCTGGAGATGCAGGCAGCAAGCAGAGCTGGTGAAATGTTGCCTCAGGTGTATCAGTGCTTTAGAAAGTCAAATACAGACATGGGGAGAAAAAGGGGTCAGGTAGAACTCTCGACGGGCCTGTTGGACAGATACGGGAAGGCCAGGCCTACATTTGGGTGTGTGTGGGGGGGGGGGGGTTTGAACAAAGACAGAGGCTAAAGGCTGGACTTGCTGGCTGAGATGACCACTAAGGAGGGTACGGTCAGCCTAGGGCTACCGGAAGCTAATGTGGATGGACTAGGCACAAAGCAGACCTTGGTCTGGGGAGCAAAGGGTGGGCCTGTTGGCATTGCCTCTCAGCTTTCTTGGCCCATCCCCTGGCCCAACCAGAGCCAGGCTTGCCCTGTGGCACTGAGGTGAGGTCTTCCTAAGAGGGCATCTGTAGCTGCAGCAGCCCAGGCGTTTCTGCTGCTCAGAGGTCTCGAGGCAGGCATGTGTGTGGTGAGAAGAAAAAGGAGGCATTTGCCTCTCCTCTTGCAAAACCAAGACCTTGCTCAATTTCCTTTTCTTTCTTTCCTCCTCCTCCTTCTTCTTCTTCTCCTTCTCCCTCTCCCTCCCCCCTCCTCTTCTTCCTCCTCCTCCTCCTCCTTCTTCTTTTGTGGGGCTTCCTCGTGGCACAGCAGCCAGAGGGAAAGGTGGGGCTCAGCTGGTATGAGCGAGCCAGGTGCGGCTTCCTGGGATTTGGGCTCTGGTCTTGTTCCTGTTGTTTCTGCCTGGGCTGGGCCTTGTCCAGCCATACAGCGGTCCCTTCCCTGGATGGGCAGGGTCTCACTGGATGTCCCTCACCCCAGGACTATCTGGGAGTTTCCCACAAGAGAGGGCCTCCCTAATATCAGGTGCCTGGTCTTGTTGAATGTTTTCACTCCGCAGCCTCAGCCCAAGCAGTAACTTGGAACTTGCAAGAGCCAGGCCATTGACTCAGAAAAGTGCCTGTTGGGTTGGGTACCTGGCTGGCCTTGGGCCTGGTGCCTGTGTGGCTGTGTGTGAGGAGAAGGGGTTTTGGCCGTGGTGGAGGCCCCGGGCACTACCATGGGTGATAGTGTGGGCCAGAGGAACAGTGTGGACTCCATTCCTCACCCTTTGCCCAGTAATGCCAGCTGGTTCCAGGTAGGCCTGTAGATTTCACAGATCCTCAGATCAGTGGCCTAAGAGCCTGGTTATAGTCTGGGTCTTCTGGTGAGCCAGTTTCCTGGCTTGAAATGACTGAGCCCTATATAGGCCTGGACAACTACTCCTGAGACTTTATACACATATACTTTTTTTTTTGGGTCCGGTCGTGGGGCCTGAACTCTGGGCCTGGGCGCTGTCCCTCAGCTCTTCAGCTCAAGGCTAGCGCTCTACCACTTGAGCCACAGCACCACTTCCGGCTTTTTTCTTTTTGCTTATGTAGTGCTGAGGAATTGAACCCAGGGCCTCAGGCATGCAAGGCAAGCGCTCTACCACTGAGCCACCTTCCCAGCCCACACATATAATTTTTAAAAATTTTTTCTTTTCTCTTTTCTGTGTGTGTACTGTGGCATGGACTTAGGGCCTTGGTGCTGTCCCTGAGCTTTTCATACTCGAGACTAGGGCTTTACCACTTGGACCACAACTCTACGTGTGTGCGTGTGTGTGTGCGTGTGCATGTGCGTGTGTGTATGTGTGTGTGTGTTTCCTTCCCTGGCTGGTTTCTAACTGTGATGAGCAGATCTTGGCCTCCTGAGTAGCTAGGTGTGGATAACCAGCACCTGGATACTTTTGGCTATTTGATGGTTAATTGGAGATGCTGCTGGGCTCAGTGGCTCATGCCTATAATCCTAGCTATCGGGGAGGCTGAAATCTGAGGATTGTGGTTGGAGCCAGCAGGAAAATCTGTGAGACTGTAATTTCCAATTAAACAACCCTCTCCCCCCCCCCAAAAAAAAAAACCCACACAAAAAACAGAAGCAGAGCTGTGGCTCAAGTGGTAGAGTACTAGCCTTTGTAGAGTACTAGCTTTGGGCACAAAAAGCCCAGGGAGGGGCTGGGAAGGTGGCTCAGTGGTAGAGTGCTTGCTTTATATGCTTGAGGCCCTGGGTTTGATTCCTCAGCACCACATAAGCAGAAAAAGCCGGAAGTGGTGCTATGGCTCAAGGGGTAGAGCGCTAGCCTTGAGCTGAAGAGCTGAGGGACAGCGCCCAGGCCCAGAGTTCAGGTCTCATGACTGACAAAAAGAAAAAGAAAAGAAAAGAAGGAAGAAAATAAAAGAAAGAAAAGCCCAGGGGTAGCACCAGGCCCTGAGTTCAAACCCTAGCTCCCCCTTCTCCCCAACATACACACAACATCTTAAACCCCAGGACTCCCCTTCCCCACACAGTCTTAAGTCTCAGACTTTTCTGCCTAGGCTGGCTTCTAACTGTGATCCTCAGATCTCAGCCTCCTGAGTAGCTAGGATGGCAGGCATGAGCCACCAAGGCCCGGCTCCTCCTGCTTCTTGAGAGGACTCATCGAGGCCTGGGGGTCTGAGAACTTCACCCACTGGAGCTGTGTGGCTGCTTGCAGGACCCTGCCTGGCTGGCCCCTTCTCCCACTTATAGATGGGGATGAGTGGTGTGTGGACAGAAGAAACAGCGTGGATGGTGGCAGGCCTTGCCTTGGAGCACCTGCTCACAGGTAGGGCCTGTACTTTCTTTGCCAGATGCCATCGCCTGCAGGATTCCTTGTTCAGCTCAGATAGTGGCTTCAGCAACTACCGTGGCATCCTGAATTGGTGTGTGGTGATGCTGGTGAGTAGGACAGGGTGTGGGGCAGGCCAGCCTCGGCAGGTGTGCTGGACTCTTCCACGTTTGTCTTGCCGTGGTGTAGTCTCTGTTGTGTGGGTGATCTGGGGTCTGTGTCTGATTGCTTTAGTCCCAGTGGCTGCCAGCCCTGGCTGGTAGGAGGAGGCGAGGCGGTCCCTGGCAAGCCATATGGGATTAGATTGAATTCCGGGAGAGCCCTGTGGATAGTGGGAGGTTGAATCGTACCCTGGCTGGCATGGGAAGGCAGAGAGAGGACCAACAGCCACCTTCTTGTCCCACACCTGAGCTGGGAGGATGAGGAGGCGGCATTTTGTGGTCACACAACTTCCCCGGCAAAATGCGAAAGAAGTCTTGAGGGATCGGGTGCCATGTGGCCTTACAGGCTTGGAGCCTCCAGAAGGCCTGGCCACCGGGGGCCTCTTGGCCCATCTCTCAGCCATGGGTCCCCCTGGACAGCCCCGCACCACGTTCAATGCCTTCGGCCTCAGGGCCTGCTCCCAGGCACGCAGGCACGCACGCACATTGTGGGGGTGTGGCAGAAACCCCACCCTTGGAGCAGTGGAGTTGGAAGCTCAAAGAGCAGCCTGAAGGGCAGGGCAAGGGGCAACTTGTGCCCAGTCTGCTCCTCAGGCTGATGTGGTCTGAGGCCTTTGAACCTACTCACAAGTGTCTGTCTCTGCTTTGAGTGTGCCTCCTCTGGCCGCCAGGGTTGCAGGGTTCCGTGTGCACCACACGGCTGCATCTCAGGAAGGGCCCGAGGCTCTGGGCGTCCTTGCCCTGGGGACGCCTCAGTCTCAGCCAGCTGTGCAGGGAGCACTGGGCCCAAGTCCAGCCTGGCTCCACGGGAGATGAGCTATCTCATTTTTGGCCCAGTCTGATCTGAAAAAGAGGCTTCTGGGTAAGGAAGGTCCTCAGCCTGTACAGTGTTTCCTTGCTGCCTTTTCTCTGTGTCCACTCTGTAGAGGGGATTGGCGCCTTAGCTCCCATTCGCCTGTTACAGGCTTTCAGGAGAGGCCTCTCTGCCTGAGTGATATTGTACGGTCTCATGTCGGGCTGGCCGGGTGGAGGTGGGCAGGTAGCAGCCCTTACGTCTCTAGGCTTTTTTTTTGCCAGTCCTGGGGCTTGAACTCAGGGCCCGGGCACTGTCTTAGAGTTTCTTTTGCTCAAGGCTAGAGCTCTGCCACTTGAGCCACAGCGCCACTTAGAGCCTTTTCTGTGTATGTGGTGCTAAGGAATTGAACCCAGGGCTTCATGCATGCTAGGCAGGCACTTTACCACTAAGCCACCTTCCTAGCCCTCATCTCTAGGCTTTTTACATCCTCCATGAAGCCTTCTGTGAGAACACCCAGGCCTAAACATGTTCCTGCCAGGGCTGGCTTTGAACCTCGATCCTCAGATCTCAGCCTCCTGAGTAGCTAGGATTATAGGCGTGAGCCACCGGCGCCCAGTTTTAAACATGTTCCTTTGCCCATGTTTCCTTTCTGTATCACAGGACCTGAGCCTGGGGAGGTAGCCTAAGTTGGTGGTATCAGGACCCAGCTGCTGGGGACTGGAGTGTTGTTAGAGCAACTGGGACAGAGTACCTCATCCTTGACCACTTTGGTGGTGTCTTCAGGCTGCCCCTAAAGCTGGGCTCCATAGCAGCTGTCCTGGCTGGAGGATCTGTTCCCTGGGCTAGGATGGGCAGCTCTCCCTCCTCAGCCTGGCCCTCCAGTAGGGACTGACCCGAAGCTCAGCTTTGACAGACTTCCCCCTTGTGGGTATGGGGGCTTTGTCATCACTGGTAATGGGAGGCTGAACACAGCACTGCAAGAGACCAGGGCGGCTGCACAGCGAGATTGTCTGCTACTGAAGGTGTGGCACTTGGGAGGAGTCTGCTAGCAGGAGGAGTCTCTTCTGCACAGAGAGCAATGAGAGACTTTTCTTTTGTCTTTATTCTGGTGTGTGGTCAGGTAGGTGGTGAGTCTCAGGGCTTGCTGTTAAAGAATAGTAGGACTGGGCCTGGGAAGGTGGCTCAGTGGTAGAGTGCTTGCCTGGCATGCATGAGGCCCTGGGTTTGATTCATCAGCACCATATAAACAGAAAAAGTGGGAAGTGGCACTGTGGCTCAAGTGGTAGAGTGCTAGCCTTGAGCTGAAGAGCTGAGGGACAGCGCCCAGGCCCAGAGTTCAGGCCTCATGACCCGGGGGAAAAAAATAGTGTGGCTGAGTCTTTAAAGCTGAGGCTGCTCCCCAGGCCTACAGGTTGTGCTTCAGAGATGTAAGAGAGCTGGGAGATGCTGGTCTGTAAGAGTGGCCAGCATCACAGGGCTGAGCCTTCTGTCTCTTGCAGATCCTGAGCAATGCACGGTTGTTTTTGGAGAACCTTATCAAGTGAGTAAACATGTTAGGCCCTTCCCTACCCCACCTACGGAATGACCAGGCCTCCACCACTCAGGCCTCCACCACCCCACTTCTAGGTACGGCATCCTGGTGGACCCCATCCAGGTGGTGTCTCTGTTTCTAAAGGACCCCTACAACTGGCCTGCTCCATGCCTGGTTATTGGTGAGCCGGGCTCAGAGAAGGGCCCTGGGTGGGCACCAGGCTGGCCTGGCCTGAACCTTTCTCATGGGTATCTCTGTCCTCAGTGGCCAACGTCTTTGCTGTGGCTGCATTCCAGATTGAGAAGCGCCTGGCAGTGGTAAGTGCCATAATTGCTTGAAGTTGGGTTTGCTGGAGGCAGGCTCTCCTTGGCGGGTCCTGGCTGAGTGCTCTGCCCCTCCCCAGGGTGCCCTGACAGAGCAGGTGGGGCTGCTGCTGCATGTGGCCAACCTGGCCACCGTCATCTGCTTCCCAGCAGCGGTGGCTTTGCTGGTAGAGTCCATCACTCCAGGTGAGCTGATGACCTGCCCCGGCCCCAACCGCTCCAGCGCCTGGGGCAGCTCCAGGCTCAGTCTGGTGGATGCGGTCCCTGGGGTGCATGGGTCTCTGAGGCTGAGCCCCTACTCTGTGGGTCCTATTGTTTGTGGGTGGCTGTGGGCTAAGATGCCTCTCCTGCAGTGGGCTCCGTGTTGGCTCTGGCGTCGTACTCCATCCTCTTCCTCAAGCTCTTCTCCTACCGGGATGTCAACCTGTGGTGCCGTCAGCACAGGGCCAAGGCTAAGGCTGGTAGGATTTGAGTCTGGGGGCTTACCTGGGGCTGGGCCTGAGCAGCATGGCCCCCCATCCTCCCCTACGCGGGCTTTACTTGCAGCCTCTGCAGTGAAGAAGGCCAATGGGACTGCCACACAGAGCGCTGTGAGCTACCCAGACAACCTGACCTACCGGGGTGAGGGCCCAGCGGGCAGGGCCTGCCCAGGGCAAGGGCCAGAGGCAAGTCAGGCAGGTTTGGCTCTAACCTCCTCCCTTCCCTTCCAGATCTCTACTACTTCATTTTTGCCCCAACTCTGTGTTATGAACTCAACTTTCCCCGCTCCCCCCGAATCCGAAAGCGGTTTCTGCTGCGGCGGGTCCTTGAGATGGTGAGGCTGGGGGACGGGGAGGAGCCACTCATGGCCTGGCGTGGGGGCCGTGGCTGCGGTCTCAGGTAGCTCCTCTGCTTTCTCCCCAGCTGTTCTTCATCCAGCTCCAGGTGGGGCTGATACAGCAGGTAAGTGGGATGGGTGCGGGCGTGGGGAGGCTCAGCGCAACTGGAGGCCCACACGTGGAACCTTCCTTTGCAGTGGATGGTGCCTACCATCCAGAACTCCATGAAGACCTTCAAGGTGAGCCTAGGCCCCCCGCTGGAGGGGATAGGAGTGGGGGAGGAGCTGTCCGGCTGAGGCAGCCTGTTTCCACAGGACATGGAGTACTCGCGCATCATAGAGCGCCTCCTCAAGCTGGCGGTGAGTGCCTGTGGTGTGCAGCGAGGTGAGCCTGAGGGACAGGTGTGTGTGGTGTTCTGGAACCTGGAGCCCTTCCCCCCACAGGTCCCCAACCACCTCATCTGGCTCATCTTCTTCTACTGGCTCTTCCATTCCTGCCTGAATGCGGTGGCGGAGCTTATGCAGTTTGGAGACCGGGAGTTCTACAGGGACTGGTGGTGGGTAGCTGGAGGGGCTCTTCCCGTTGGGGCCTGGGCAGGCCCCCGTGCTCCGCTCACCCTGTCTCTTTGACCCCAGGAATTCTGAGTCTGTCACCTACTTCTGGCAGAACTGGAACATCCCAGTACATAAGTGGTGCAGCAGGTGGGTGGTCTGTGCGCGCGTGGGGGTGGGTGTTGACCTAGGCCACTTCCCAGGGCCTCAACTTTGGCCTCTGTTTGCTCTAGACACTTCTACAAGCCTCTGCTCCGACGGGGCAGCAGCAAGTGGCTGGCCAGGGCAGGGGTATTCATGGCTTCGGCCTTCTTCCACGAGGTGAGTGCTCTGCTCTTTTCTTTTGCCTTGTCTCTGGGTAGGGACGTGGCCCACGGCTGAGACTCGAACCCCCTTTTCCCGTTCCAGTACCTGGTCAGCATCCCTCTGCGCATGTTCCGCCTCTGGGCATTCACCGCCATGATGGCTCAGGTGAGCAGCCCGGCTGGCTACCTCACCCAGCAGCCCTCCCGGGCGCCACTCTAGCCAACTGACCTTGGCCCCACATGCCCTCAGGTCCCACTGGCCTGGCTTGTGGGCAACTTCTTTCAGGGCAACTACGGCAACGCGGCTGTGTGGCTGACGCTCATCATCGGGCAGCCGGTGGCCGTGCTCATGTATGTCCACGACTATTACGTGCTCCACTGCGAGGCCCCCGTGGCGGGAGCCTGAACCTGCGCAGGGCACCTCGGCCCGGAGCGCTGAGGCCTGCTCCCGCCTCAGGAGGCCTTCCGCCCCTACAGGTGCCCTGCTGTTCTCCTTAGGGGTGGTGACACCGCACCAGCTGGCGGGAGCCAGCGCTGAGTCTGTGCTGTCCAGGGACCAAGGGTGTCAATAAAGTGCTGTCCAAGGTGACCTCCCTCAGCCTGGTGGGGTGGGGGGATCAGTGGGTGTCGGCCCATCCCACCCTGGCTAGTGGCAGTGCTGTGGGTAGCCGTCCCACAGGCTGGAAGCCCGGACATGCTCAAGATTCTTGGCCAAGGTTGTGGTGTTGGTGGATCTGTAAACGTATGTTGTTCTGGGTTGTGTGAACGACTGCTTAGCTACAGAAGTGACCAACCATTGCAGCTAGAGGCCAGGGAGGTTCCTGGGCCACCTTGTGGTTTGGGAAAGATCAGATGAAGTACAACTTGTCCTGCTAATGCCAATGGAAGATGAACCTGCCTGGTGAATCAAGTCTTGTGGGTTCCCCACAGCTGGGCTGCTCAGTGCAGGGGCTGACCAGGCACCCGCAGAGCAGTCACTTTCCTGCTTTCTGGAGCCCTGCCCTCCGCCCCTTACTTACTTGTAGCTTTCCTGGCAAAGGGGGACAGCCCTGTGACATCAGGGGTGCCTTGTCCCTAGACCCTGCCTAGTCCTACCAAGTCAGGGAGGGAGCAGAGGCCAGAGTAGGAGGTAGCCCAGGGATCCTAGCCGTTTCCCCTCCCCCCCACCGTTTTTTGTTTTTTTTGGTGGTCATTTAAAAACTTTTGTCCAAGGTCCAGTAACATGGCTATCTGCTATTTGCAGGGCGGGTGGCTGCCCTGTCAGCAGCCTGCCTAGCCCCCATCTATGGTGCCTTGTCTCCTGTAGCATGGCGGTGTTGGGGAGAAGGGGACTGTCTGAGAGCTCTCTTCTTGGAGTCCTGCAAATGTGTTTGTGTAGAGACAGCATCTCTGACCTCCCCGCCCCCGATGGCCATAACTCAGACTTGCTGGGACAGTAGGGGGCCTGCCTCCCCTCCCCGCTCTTAACCAGGAGAGCTTGATGTAGGGATCAGGGATGTTCGAATGCCCACTGGCTGAGGCCACCTCCCCATCTGGTGCCGAGAACCCATGCAAATGTCTGCTAGCAGGAGCAGGGCCAGAGCCAGTCTAACGCTTCCTGGACATACACGAGGTGGCTCTGCTGCGATGACAGCCTATGTGCCACCTGTGCCCCCTGCCCTGAATGGATGCACCTTGGGAAAATACATCCTGGGGGGCGGGGGGGCGGGAAAGAGTTGTCTTACGGTAACCAGGGTCCCCTCAATAAAAAGCTGTGAGCACCTAACAGTCTGTGGCATCAGGTGGGGCCCCCCAAGGTCACACAGCCCCGTCCAGTGATGAACACGAGGAAGCACATAGAATACACAGCGTAGAGCATGTCCATTTATAGAGCTCTGCTATCTTGTCTGTCCATTTGTGTGTATATATTCTCTGTGAAGGGGAAAAGGAGGTCCCTCATATAAAAATCCAAAATACACTTCTATGAACAACCCTCAGGGCCAAGTCCGAGTGTGGCTATGAAGCAAGCCCCAACCAAGCCAGGGGATGCAGGGCTGGGGTGAAGGCAGCAGGTGTGTGGGCTCCGAGGTGCTCCTATAGACCTGAGACACAGCCCGGCCCCTAGCCTCCTCTCTGAGCTACTGAGGCAGTGAAGGCTGCCCCAGAACCGCATGCCTTCCCGGGGCCGGCCCTACCCTGGGGGTAGGTGAGGGCAGGCCGCGGGCTGCCTGGGGCCTCTAGGACACACTGGGATCCTTGGCTTTGGGGGGCTCGGAGCCCGTCAGCAGGGAGATGGTGGGGTCATCCGTGTAGTCATCCCCCTCAGAGAAGTAGGATCCCTCCCCCAGCTCAAAGAGCACAGGCAGGTCGCTGCTCCCCGTGTCCACAGCATCAGGGTCCAGCAGAAAGAGGGGCTGCGCGGTGTAGTGTACCAGCTGCTTCCCTGTGGGGCAAGGATCAGGATGGTGGAGGTGGGAGGAAGAGGGGAAGCGGATGGAGGAAGGGGGAGTGGGTTCAGGGCTCAACTCACCTGAGTCAGGGTTGCTGTTCTCGGCCTCAAGAGACCTGGGGGGCTCCTGGGGAGACAGGAGCTCCTGGATCTGTGTAGGAGAGGAGGGGTCCAGTGAGGGCTGCTGCCGAGCTCCCCCGCCCCCCACCCTGCCCGCCTACGCACGCTGGTCAGGCTGCTGTCAAGGTCAGGCAGGCTCATGTCGGGCATGGTCACCGAGGGGCTGAACAGCTGCCAAGGAGGGGGGGGGAAGTCAGGGCCGGCCGGTGGGCGGGCGGGCGGGGGCGGGCGGGCGGGGGAGACCAGACTCACGTCCAGCAGGGCACTGGTGTCCACACTGAAGCCATGGCTGGTCAGCATGGTCTGTAGGTTGTCCAGGTTGGAGTCCATGGCGTCCAAGTGGTCACTGAGCTCATTCCTGACCCAGAGTGAATGGGAAGGTGAACCGGTGGCCCCCACCCAGCCACACCTGGGCTGGAGAAGGGCTCCCCTCTGGTGTGTCCCCCCACAAGGCCACTCCGGACGGTCCGCATGGGCTGTAGGATGGGGTGCAGCGGCAGCTGGCACGGCACTGGTGAGCTTGAGGTCCTCCAGGGCGGTTGAGGTGAGGGCAGCCTGGCCCGCAGGGAGTCTGGCTGCTGGAGGCCCTGGGGGCCTGGCTGGGAATGGTGGGGGTGGGGATGGTAGGAGGGACTCAGGGCTAGAGACTGGAGGGGGGGCAGCGTCTAGCCACTGTAGTCAGGAGGCAGTGAGGAGGGAAGAGAGGCTGAGTTGATGGGGGTGGTCTGTTGTGTCTCCCTAGGGCTGCTTGGAGGGCACATGGCTCTGGGTTGCCTGAACCAAGGGTAAAGCCATTGGGCTGGTTCTGTGGGTGGGCTGGGGCCACCACTCCTGAGATCCTGCCTGGCACTGATGGCCAGGCCAGGTGGGGCCAGGTCTTGACCACAGTCGCTGGACCACGCCCAGGGGCGTGGGAGAAGAGGCCCTCCCCTGGGTAGAAGAGTAGTGCCGTGCCAAGTTGATGTCTGGGCTATGCTGGAGGGGCCCGAGCTCTGGCAGAGACCTCCTCCCTCCCCGGGGGCAGCGCTAACCCTGGCTGGACTCGGCCATGCAGAAAGGAAGAGGAGGGGCAGGGGAAGAGGCGGGCAGCCCCAGACATCTGTGGAGCACGAGCCAAACTGCAAGATACAAAGACAAGAGCCCCCCATTGCAGGCGGGGGCCGGGGGTCGGAGCCCGCCGTCCTCGCTCACTCAGCTTCTCGGTTTTGGCTGAGTGCTGGGGAGGGGGGCCCTGGCCGGCCCCAGGTTTAGGAAGCCTGACGGATGCAAGGACCTTGTAGCTTACGCAGCTGGGGAGGGGGGGAGGGCAGTGTCAAGGGGGGTCCAGAGAGCCAGGACTCCCGGGACACCAGACAAGGCCACTCTGCCTGCGCTGCCACATGTGCTTGGCTCCTGGTACTCATTCTCCCTAGCTCCAGCTCTTTTGGGGAATAAATTCACCCTGCTTACACCAATCAATCCTCATATACTCAGGGCATGGGGTTTTTTGAGCCACCCAGTGCCAGCCCTCCAGCCAGAGTGGGCTGAGCGGAGGCTCGGGCCGGGCGTCCGGGGACAGCACTCACTTGTCCAAGCAGGCTACACTGAGGCACTTCTCAGGGGTGGAGGGTAAGTGTGCGGGGCTGTGGGCTCTGGTGTCCACGGGGGCGGTGGTGGCGGCTGCAGCGGCAGGCTCATTCTCTTGCAGGATGGAATCGATGAGGGCAGTCGGGGACAAAGGGGTGTCCACAGAGGGTGGGTGTCCAGGCCTTGCTGCCTCCATTCGGGGGCTCTGAGGTGGGCTTGGGGGCTCCTCCTTGACACGCACTGGGGGGCTGCTGGACAGAGTCCTGGACACACAGGGACGTCAGCAGGAGCTCCAGCAGCCCTGCCCACTCCCAGCTCCACCCTGGCTGCAAGTGTCACGCTCACCTCGTGTCTAAACTCCTGCCTGAGGAGGCCAAGGGGCTGGCAGGCGCCAGCTCGGTGATGTCGGAGATGATGGGTCCGGAGCTGGTGACGGCCTCTGGGGTGTAGAGGCTGGAGCTGCTGTAGGCTGGGGATGGAGCCTGCAATCAGAGGCCGAGGCCACACGCAGAGTGAGCCTGTGGCAGCCTCTGCCACACAGCACCCTCTCTGCACATGTGGTGGCAGTCCCGAGAAGCCTGTGGCTCACCGAGTACGGGCCTGGGCCATGAACATGCTCTAAGGAGTACTGCCGGCTATACTTGGGCACAGAATGTGCTGAGCTGCTGTCACTCAACATCAGGGGGCTGCAGGGAGGGAGCAAGAGTCAGCTGCCTGCCTCGGACCTTGAGGGTGCCCAGGACACAGCAGGCAGAGGAGACAGAGGGCCCAGGGCTCGAGCCGGCAGTGCGGGCATTCCCAGCGCCTCACATCTTTCTCTTCACCCCCAGGATCCGGTTTGACTGCACCAGTGAGATCAGGAACTGAATGAGCTGTAGGGCAGAAAGGACACAGTCACCCTGGCACCCTGTGGGGAAACCCACCTGCCACCAGCCTTGCCTACCTTGTTGACAACTTTCTGCTGCTGCGCATGCTTCTGCCGCAGGCTGGCCACCTCTCGCCACAGGGCCTCGTTTTCACTGCAACACACCAGAGTCAGTGGGGCCCAGGCGTCAGGAGAGCCCCTGCAGACATCCTCTACCCCCAGCAAAGCACAGAGCAGAGTAGGGAGGGGACGAGGACCGGAGGTAGGGCTGGGCCAGGTGAGGGTCTGCTGGCACCCTTGTCCTCAGCTCCACTGAGTTTCCAGGGGAGATAGGGGCCAGCGGCTCACACCTGTCATCCTAGTTACTCAGGAGGCTGAGATCTGAGGACCCAGGTTCAAAGTCAGTCTGGACGGGAAAGTCTGTAAAACTCTTACTTCCAATTAATTTAATTTCCAATTAAAAAATCTGAAAATGGGGGTGGGTGGGAGATGGGAAGGGGAAACAAAGGAGGAGGCAACAATGCTTGATAGAAATGTACTCATTACCTTGCCCATGTAATTCTAACCCCTTTACATGGTATTTTCACAATAAACAAAAATAAAATACTTGAGACAAAAAAAAAAAAAAATCTGAAAATGGCTGGGTGCTGCTGGCTCACACCTGTAAAATCCTAGCTACTCAGGAGGTTAAAATCTGAGGACTGCGGTTCAAAGCCAGCTTGGGCAGGGAAGTCGG